ATCCCTACCAAGTCCAGCACCAGAAACCTCTGAACTAACTATCAACAGGTAATTTATTTTATTTTTACAAGTTTTACAGCATTTGGGTTAAGTGATCGTGTGGGAGTCACCTAGCTCAGGAGTTGCAATCCCTATTTTTAATTTATTAGCAGAGAAGAAAAAATTAGGACCATTCACTTATTTTCACCGGCTTCCTTACGTAGAGCATGCTTAAGCCAGAGTTGGATGCTAAAATGAACTACTTAAGGGTTTATTTGGGATGATAATTAAGGCTATAACATAGTAGGTATCAGGATCAATTCCTATAATCAAGAAGCTTATGATGTTAAGACTATATCGATTTTTCAAAAGTTTTCCCAAGTCTTCAATATCCTATCCCAAACTTGTCTGATAGCCCAAATTTAAAATAAAAATATAAAAGTTGTTTTCTTTGTCAAATTTTTTGGTAAGGCTCAAGAAATGGGGAAGTAAGAATACACTACACAAATGACTCGTCAAGTACATTCAATTTATTGAAAGAAAACTAACAAAACAACCTAAATAAATTAAAAATCAATAAAAACTAAAAACAAAGGAAAAGGAAATAAATATCCTCCCAAACTTAAACTGAACATTGACCCCAATGTTTCGATAAAATATGATGAAGGTGTAACCTGGAAGACACTACTGGTGACCACTGGTACCCTCGCCTCCCTGCCCTGAACACCTAGGATGACGACTTCTGCTGCCATGATGATCACTCTGTTAAAGCTCAAGTTGCTCAACCCTAGCTGATAGTGCATCATTAGACTCTTGTAGTTGTTGAAGGTTACCCAATACGGAGCCTTGAGTGGCCTCCATTAGGGTGAAATGTCTTTGTATGATCAGGTAGGGTTAAGTAGTGAATAGTTTCTTCGTCTATCAAAAGCCTATAGTGAAAAATGATCACAATATTAATACAAACTCACTGAATGTTATAGAAGATATTTAAAAATGGAAGGTGCATACTTTTGATCATGTTATGTGGATGAAAAAAGATGTTATGGCGAAGCTCAATGGTATTCAAAAATGTCGGCAGATAAATGAGTATAGTGTCGGGCTCAAGAAGCTTGAGAAGGAGTTGCAAAGGGAGTTGAGTGTCACATTAAAGAAGTAAGACCTTATATAGTATCAACGACTGGGAGCTGTTTGGTTAATGGACGGTGACAGAAACATAAAGTATTACTACATGCAAGTTGTTAATCGATGTAGGAGGAATATGATCAATATGCTTAAAAATGATGGCAGACATTAGATTGAGGATAAGGATCAACTGAAGGCTCTGGTAATATAGAAGATGAAGAGGTAAAAAGTCCTTGTTTGCGATGAAGCCTTGGAAATCCCATGGTCTGAATGGATTTCCAGCAAGATTCTATCAAAAATACTGGGATACCGTTGGGAGAAGTGTGTACAACTTTGTTAAGAAGATCTGGTGCAATCTAGGAATTATTGTTGAGGTTAACCAAACAAATATTTGTATGATACCTAAAGTCAATAATCCTCAAACTGTTGCTCAGTTCTTCCCAATATCTCTTTGTAATACCATTTACAAAGTTGTCAGCAAGATTATAGTGGAGAGATTGAAGGGTTGGATTGCTAAGATATCGTCTCTGTTTCAAATCGGTTTTGTGCCTGGAAGATCCATCCATGAGAACATCATTATATAAAAGGAGATTATGAATATCATGTAGAAAAAAAGGGGAAGAGAGGGTTCTTTGCTATCAAGATTGATCTTTCGAAAGCATATGAAAAACTCAGGTGAGATTTCATTTAACATGTTTTGATGGAAATAAAGCTCCCAGTTTCAATGGCAAATGTTATCATGCATTCACTTACTAGTGTGGAATTGAATGTTAACTGGAACAGTGCTAGAAGTTATTTCTTTCATAGTGAGGCATTAGACAAAGAGACCTCATTCCCCTTATTTCTTTGTCTTGTGTATGGGTAAATCCTCTCATCTTATCGGGCAAAAAGTTATGGATCATAAGTGGAATGCAATGCAAATGGGGGAACATGGGCCTAACATCGCTCATCTCATGTTCGCTGATGATTTACTTCTTTTTGGTGAAGCTTTTGAAAAGCAAATGCAAAGTGTTATGCAAACTTTACATAAGTTTTGTAGCATGTCAGGTCAATAAGTTAGTGCTGGCAAGTCTTGGATTCTATTCTCCAAGAACATTGGCAAAAATGGGAAGATAAAGTTGATCCAAATGTCTGGTTTCAAAGAGATAAGTTAGTTTGGAAAATATCTTAGTGTACCGCTTAGTGGAAAAGCTTTAAATAAAGTGGACTATCAGTACTTGATGGATCAAATTGCAGCTAGGCTCACGAATTGGAAAACTAACGTTTTATCTTTTGCAAGTCGTGTTACTCTGGCCATTGTAATGTCTTCATGTCGAAAATATGGGGCTTGTATGAAGGAATCAAGTTAGCTTTATATCAAGGCTATATGAATGTTGAGGTAAATGTGGATTATTCCATGGTGGTCCAAGCTATACAAGGTGTTCGAGTATGGTGAAGAGTTTGGCGATTAGCAATCAAATTTGAAGGTTAATGGAAAATTTTGAAGAAGTTATTATTTGTCATTCCTTCAAAGAGGCAAACAAATGTAAAGATATGTTAGTTTCTATTGATTTTAGTGTTAAACCTGACATTGTTCTTTATGATTAGCTCTTGACTTTTTAGTGAGTTCGCTTGATGTGGATGCTAGAGGTGTTTTCACTATTGTTTTAGGGATTTGACCCCATTCTTATATAAAAAAAGTTTTAGGGATTTGACCCCATTCTTATATAAAAAAAGCAACAATTATTTAATTTTTTTTACAAATGTAATATTTATTTTGGGACAAAATAAATATATATTAACATGTACAAATAAAATTGTCCAAGACAAAATTAAAATTAACTACCAATTCAAAACCTAGAGATTAAAAATGTATATCACTAAAATATGAATAATCTATAATTTGATCCTCCCCTCCCCTCTCGAGTTAAATGGATTACTCTCTTCGATCACACAAAGGAAATATCTAAGTTATACTTAAAAAAACATCTCATTAAGTTTGAAGTAATTTGTAACCAAATATAATAAAATTTTAATGTCTCTGTTTATGTCATATCATTACTATTTTTTCTTATAGTTTTGAATTTCTCTTTTCTATTGTAAAATTATATTTTGTAAAATTATTTATAATCTTTATTTCTCATACATACTAAATAAATTTCTTAAACTAAATTAGGATGAAGCCGTGGAGGAGATATTATTATCATTTATTTATCTTTAATATTTATTATAGAAAAAACAAAATGAAAGGTAAATGTGGATTCTTTTATGGTGATCTAAACTATTGATATAAAGTGTTAGAATATGATAGAGAGTTTGGCGATTATTAATCAAATTTGAAGGTTAATGAATTTTTTTGAACAAGTGATTGTTTATCATTTCTTCAAAGAGGCAAACAAATGTGGGAATATGTTAGTTTTTGTTGGTCATAGTGATAGACCTGAAACTGTTCTTTATAATTGAACTCTTGACTTTTTAGTGAACTTGCTTGAAGCGGACGTTAGAATTATTTTCACTATTTGATTAGTGTGTGAACTCCTTTGTTATTTTCGAGCTTTAACTCATTATTATAAATAAAAAAGTATGAGTTATTTAAAAAAAATCATAAATACAATATATATTTTGGGACAAAAGGAGTATAAGTCAACATGTACAAATAAAATTATCCAAAAAGAAATTAAAATTAGCTATCAACTAAAAACCTAGAGATTAAGAATGTATAATTAGGAATTATGGATGTTCAAATCGTAACCAACTCAAATAAAAATCGCAAACTAATCTATAAAAATTAAAAATCGCAAAAAGTTAAAGTTTGTTGGATATGTTTGGATGTCATTTTGTAAAAATCACACGATTTAGATTAGATTTCAAATTGATTTTTTAAAACTGATCCAAACCGAATCAAACACATTTATATATTTTTATATTTATTTATTTTTTATTAGTATGATATGTTACATGAATTTATTAGATGATAATTATTTTTTAATACTTTTTATTAACTTGATTTAATCTATTTATTTTTATTATTTTATTTAGTTCAATCATAATCGATCATTCTCATTTTATAATATTAATTATATGTTTTATATTATATCAAATATATGATTTATTAGTATTTTTATAATATTAATAAAAATATTATTTATAATTTGAATATTCAAAAACTAATTCAAATTAAACTGCATTAAATTAATTCAGATCGAATCAGATTTTTTAACATATTATTCAAAATCGAATCAAACTACAAATAAAAACCGATTCAAATCAAATCACCATCGGTATAAATCATTTTTTTTTATCCTCTCTCCAGTTATAGTGTATTAAGTTACACTTAAAAAAACATCTCATTAAATTTGAAGTAATTTGTAACCAAGTAATCTAATAAATTTTAATATCACTATTAATAGTTAATTGATTCAATAAAAATTAACGCATGATTTAATAGAGAGAATTGCGAAGTAGACTATACACGATAGTGAAAAACAAAACAAACAAAAAAACTTCAATGTCTCTTTTTCTATCATATCATTACTATTTTTTCTTATTGTTTTGAATTTTCTCTCTTCTATTGTAAAATTAAAGGATATTTTGTAAAACTATTTATAAATATTTATTTCTCATACATATATAGTACTAAATAAATTTCTTAAACTAAAAATTAGGACGAAGTCGTGGAGGAGTATCATTTATCTTTCATATTTATCATAGAAAAAACAAAATGAAGGGCAAAACTATAATTTGACAAGGTTCATGTTCTGTTGTGCGTTTTAAAGACGAGAAAAGCGGGAGTGTAGAATAAAAGGGTGCCCACATACCACAACAGTGTTAATAACCAGACTGAGCAATGAGAATGTGAAAATATGGTGAACCCTCCCCATTGAGATTTGAGAAAGAAACAAATCAAAGAGAAAGAGAGAATGACAAGAGGAACAGGAGCAAAAGATCAAAAGCTTGAAAAACAGATGGGGTGCATGGCAGGTTTCCTACACATCTTCGATCGCCACCACTCATTTCCCGTTAAAAGACTCAATTCCTCAAAACCAACGGTATAGATTCAATCTCAAAACTCAAATCACACTGTTTCATTCTCCATGTTTAATCATAATGTAACCATTTGTGTTTTTTACAGGAACCGGAAACAAACGGTAGTAACTCACCAGCTGAATCAACACCAGAAACAGAAACAACAACTCAACCGGAAAAACCGACTCTTCAGATTCTTCCGGTTTTCGATTTCAAGGAAGGAACAAGATCTTCGTGGAAACTCGCCAGAGAAGCTCCAAGACTATCGTTAGATAGCAGAGCCGTAATGGATGCAAAAGGAACAATTCATCCTAAAGATGATGAAAAACGACGACGTTCCACTAGCGTTGTTGCAAAGCTCATGGGTCTGGAAGACTCTGATCCCAACCCTAACCCTAACTCTAACCCTAACCCTAACCCGAAGCTACAAAGATCAGCTTCGGAATCAACGGTTCACAGAGATCTATATCATTCTCAACAGTATCGTTTCTTTGACACTACGAATTTCCAATTAAAGCAAATCGACACAGACTCAGATCTAACTGAGAAAACAGAATCAGTCAGAGGAAAGGTAACGAAACAAAAGAAGTGTTTCTATGATTCTGCAGACTTTTTCCCTGGTCCGAAACAGAGTGTTTCTGTCTCTGTTCAAGGTGAGATTGAGAAACGGTTGAAGATGCGTGGGATTCATGAACCTTCTAAAGATCTCGAGACGCTGAAACAAATACTTGAAGCATTGCAGCTGAAAGGGCTTTTACATTCTAAGAAATTAACAAATCATAGAAACTTCGTCGATGAGAATGTGAACGAGAACGATTCGCCTATAGTTCTTATGAAGCCAGGAAAATCAATACATCGAACCGGAACCGGGAATGATTCTCCACCACCAGCCTCCACTTTCCGGTCCAAACCAAAGGCTCCAACTGATCATATTCAACCTAATGTTAGAAACAGAAACACCGCGAACTCCCCCACGCGCAGTCCTAACTGCGTGAGGAAGGTTACCGGCGTGGAGACACAGCGAAAAGTGAACGACGCTCTTGATCGCCGAACAGTTTCTCCGGTTCAATCCCCGAAGACTGAACCGAACCGGCAATCGCCGATTCGGTCGCCGAGGATGAGAAAAGTTAGTACAACTTACCAAAAGGAAGAGAAAACCATGACAGAAGATGAAGCATCCATTGTTTCCGACAGTAGTTTCAGTAACTCTTCACATACAGACACCGAGGTTTGTTAAATTGAATATTTAATTTTTTTAAATTAATTTTATTAATTGAATTAATTAATGAGATGAATTTAATTACGGTACAGAGGCTAATTAAGGTGGTGGACCAATACAGAGAAGGGAAAGAGCTACTGCAGAGGTGTGATAAATTACTCAACAGTATAGCGGAAATAACTGAGTCACAACAACCGAGTCCCGTATCGGTTCTCGACTCGTCGTTTTACAAAGACGGCTCGTCTAGTTCACCATCTCCAATAATGAAAAAATGCATTGAATATAAAGGTCAGTAGTTTTGTTTTGTTCGTACATACATAAGTCGTAATCATTGCTTCCTTGGTGTTAAGGTCATTGTTTTTTTTACGAGTGAAAAAGTTAATATTAGGTGTGACATCATTTATAGGGTACGCGTGTTTAGGTCTTTTAAGAACCAAACTGTTCTTTCCATTTCTTCACAACAATTATACTGTTTTGTTGCTTGGGTGAATGGTGTATTGTCATTTCTTTACTATACACAAAACAAGAAACAAGACTTTTTATTACTTTCACACTTGTAGTGTAGTGGTAGTGGTTGTGAAATTTACATATTACGTGGACCAATCATTTGATACTTAGGAAACCGAGTTAGTTGGATTGGTTTTGTTCATTGACTACGTCAGAAAAATACTTGTAGAATCACGTGGGAGAGTGATGGCATTCTGCTTTTCAAGATTGATAGTAGTGTCCCCGTGAAAATACTTTAAAGTAGAGTAGCACCAATGCCTTTAAAAAATGTGTGTACATACACCTACATTTATAATTAAGTTTCATTTATTTATTTTATATATATTTTTTAAAATTATTATCGGAGTTACGCGTAGGGAGTGGTGTTTGGAAATCCATGTTTTATAGTAAATAAATGAGCAGTGTCGTTATCTGTATTTATTTGTTTTAGTTAATTAATTTCGTTTCTTAATCTCGCTTGATGTTAATGAAGTTTGGTGAAATTGCAGATGTAGAAGCGGAGTCAGAAGAAGATGCTTGGAGTACAGCTTTGTGTTCAAACGAAACCAAGTCAGAGGATTCCGAATTCGTATATGTATCAGAAGTACTTCGTGCTTCTAACTACTTGCCCAAAGACAAAGACAATGACATGTTTCTGATACTGGAACAGCAACAGTACCTCAAGGGAAACAACAACACTTCCAAAGTTTCCACTCTTCAAAGAAAGTTAATCTTTGACACGATTCATGAGATTCTCAACTGTAAACGCCGTTTGCCACCGTGGAAGTTAGAGAACACGCCGTCGTTGGTTCAAATCTGGTCGGAGTTTCGGAGAATCCGAGAGAGGGAAGAGTCTGAGGATATGTTTGAGGTGATATGTGGAGTGTTGAAGAAGGACATGAATGGAGAAAATGAATGGAGTGAATGCCACGTGGAAATTGGAGATGTAGTGTTGGACATCGAACGGTTCATATTCAAAGATCTTATATGCGAAACCATTGGAGATTTAGCATTGTGTAGAGGAGTACCACGTAACAAAGTTTCGGTGCTTCGCAGGAAGTTAGAGTTTTATAATTAGGACAACAAAACAAAAAGATGGGAAAATGAGATGAAAAAGAAAAGCAAAAGTGTTAAATATAATAAATAATATTTTCTTTGTTTTAAAATAAATGTCGTTTAAAATTTTTGTACAAAAATTAAAGAAAATAATGATGTTATCATAAGACATTACACATTTATAAAATTAATCCTATAATATATTAAAAATAGTGTAAAAAGTAAAAGAAATAATTGAAAAAATAATAATTATTATTATATTAAAAAGTGAAAATTATAATTATTTTAAAATAAAATTTATTTATTAAAATGATAGTCATTTTAAAAAGGTAGAAATACATGAAAATAGAGAGGGGATTTTCTTAGTATGGTTGTTTTGCTTTTCCTTTCTCTTTAGTGATCCCATAGTTTAACTATTTTCTAATTATCATGGGTATGTTTTTTAATTTTTTTTATTAATAATCATGTATTAAAATAATATTTCGTAAATAACCGGATTTCGGAAAAAATTACACAAATAACCATGTTTCAGATGACTCCCCAAAGGAGGAGCCATCTGAAATGGCGCATGCACCTACCATTTTGTCCTAGGCGCCATCTCACTTGGCGCCTCCCTTGGCTTTTAGCCAAGTGAGATGGCGCATGCTCCTTAAAAGTGAGAGGAGGCGCCATCTCACTTGGCTCCTAGGGCAAAATTAGGGCAAAATACTGTTTTATAAATAATTCGTCCGTTTCTCCGAAATTTCTCACACTTTCTCGCACTGTATTTTTATTTTGTACTCTGTTATTTGCGTCATGACGCCGCCTATGATTTTTAGCAGAGATGGTTACGTTATCTTCTCCGCCACCAAACCTGTGATGAAAATGAAATTCTGGCACATTCACTCCATGGAGCGTCTGAAGCGGGAGTTGATGTGATGGCTAGATGAAGACATTGCGGAGGGGGGAAAAATTCGAAGGATCCAGCGAAAACGAACAACAACCTCACATGCGACATGAAGACCTAATGTGTGGTTGGAGGAAGTCAAAACAGACATCGATTTAATGTTGATGATGCATGGGTCAGATGAAATTGTGTTAACAGTTGTAATTTCGTAGATGGAATATCGCTAATTATTCTTGTACGCGTTTTATTAATTGTAGCAAAATCTGTTAACGGAAAACCCAAATGTTTACAACAAAATTATGAAAAGATTTTATGTATTACAATATTTATGTGGTCGAGGCAGACGCCCGATTCAGACAGTTTTTGCGATTGTATCCGACCTGACGGCATAAACCACACTTTCTTTCCAACCTGTCAAGATCGTCCATTTCTGTTGTGATGCGCTTACTTTTGGGACGACCCTTCTTGTTCCTTCGCATTTGGTCATTGTGCCATACTATTTCACCGTCGTATGCAGGTCAATAATCTGGTTTTGCTACCAAAGGAAAGTTGTTGTTGTAAACGTTGAGCAACGTTTCAGATTTGTAAATGTTTGACAGAAGTTGCAGCGCGTCTTGATGGGTATGAGCACAAGCGACAATGACATGAGAGCAAGGCATACGAAATGCTTGAAACCTGCCACAATCGCACCATTGAGAAGGTAGCATGACCCTATATTCTTGTCTTGGCAGGCCTTCATTGTGGTCGATTGTCTCTTTCACAATGAAGTTGTGGCTGTGTCGGTCAAACCGTATAACCATGTGAGTGTTGGCTTTAGCACTTTCAGCCTTAATGTATTTCATGCAGCTTTCACTCCATAGTTGTCCAGATTGCAACACCGCATTCCACATTTCACCTCTTTTGGCAAATAACGCAACCATCCTAAAATACATAAATTTTACCAAGGCAGTGATTAGGAGGTTTCGTATGCCTTTGAATACCCCATTCATTGATTCAATAAGATTCATTGTCATATGCCCCCATCTTTGGCCATTGTCGTATGACCTAGTCCATTTTTCCACCGAAATATTGTCGATCCACCTACCGGATTTCGGATTAGACAAACGGATCTCGTTGCGGTAATATTTGAATGTGGGTTGTGTCAATGTATATCCCGCATTCATAACCGCTTTCCTCAATGTTTTGTCCTTGATCTCCCTCGAGAAATTCTGGACGATATGCCTAACGCAATAGACATGCGTGGAAGGAGGGTCATGCCAACCATTTGCTGGATTATTGTAGGCACTTTCAATGGAGGCATGTTTGTCCGAGATCAAACAGAGATCTGGTTGAGGAGCCACGTGTGTCCGCAGATTTTTCAGGAAAAAGCTCCAAGCACCACCGGTCTCCTCCTCGACAAGGGCAAAGGCAATGGGGAAAATGTTGTTGTTGCCATCTTGTGCAACTGTCATCAGTAGCGTGCCTTTGTACTTCCCATACAACCAAGTCCCATCAATTTGTATAATTGGTTTGCATGATGCAAACCCTGTGATGCATGGTTGAAATGCCCAAAACACGCGATTGAATATTCTGTTGCCATTTAGTAGACTATCATCTTGGGCGTATGCTGGCACTGTTTCCAGAACGTAAACACTACCTGGAGAATACGTCTTGAGTGCATTCAGGTAGCGGGGAAGTTCTTGGTATGACTCCTCCCAGTTTCCGTACACCCTTTCAATCGCCTTAGTCTTTGCTAACCACGCCTTACGGTAAGACGGAGTGTAGTTAAAAACCATGGTGATGTGGGAGATGATTGTTTTCACCTTCAAAGATGGGTCGTTGCTGACCAGGGGTAGGATTTCTTGACAGATGAGATCATAGTTGAGTTTTCGGTGGTCCTGTGATTGAGTGGAACTTACACAAGTGTGGGTAGTCATGGAACCTATGACCCAGCAGTCACCCCTTAATCTGTATGATGCGGTCAGCTTGAACATACAGTCAGGGTGGACACACTTGATCTTGTACCTTTCCGGGTTGACACGATCCACCTTAAAATCAACCGAGTTGAGCATGTGGAATTTTTTAATGGCCCTGATGCATTCCTCTCTGTTACGAAACTTGTCCTTCTCTTTTAAATTTTCATCCGACTGCATATACGGATTGAAAAATAAGTCAGTAGAAGGTTCATCTCCGCCCATGTTGAAGTTTGTCATGTGCGGAGGTGGTGTGTAGATTTTGTTTGCAGGAATACTAGGGATGCCATCATCGTCGGAATCATCATTCACCATTTCATCAAACTCTAACTCGTTATCTTCTTCTTCATCATCAACTGCATCTACCTCAGCTTGTTCATTCTCCAAAGGATCAACCTCTTGTGTCACCTGAGGCTCTCGCAGCATAACGTACAACTCAATAGAGTCGTACCCAGAATAGACATGGCTGGAAAACATATTCTGGAGATCCTCGTCATCTTGAACTTCAACCTTATAAAAAAGTACTTGGTTGTTTCCAAAGAAAACTGGATTCTGATAAAATATCTGGGACACCGGGCCTCGTTCAAGTTTGGCCTCCAATGTTTTTTTGAAGTACGAGAAATTGGTTTTCCCGTTTAAGAGAAATCGGATGTTGTCTGTGTCTCTAAACAAAAACCCAGCGGTGGGACAAATGTATGTCTCACCGTTGAAATGTGCTTTGACGACAAATTGTGGTGCAGAGGCCATTGCATAGAATTGTTTTAAGGTTTGAAGGTTGGAATGTTTGAATTTTATGAGTGATTCGAAGGTTGGAATGTTTGAGGTTTATTGATTGTATGAAGGTTTGAATGATGTAATGTTTGAAGGTTGGAATGTTTGAACTATATGAGTGATTCGAAAGTTTATATGTTTGATTGTTTGCAGGTTTAAAGGTTTGATTGTAAGAACGTTTGAAGGTTGGAAGATTTGACAGATTATGTGAATCAATGTTATGATAAACGTAAGGCTAAAAATTTCAATTAAGTAAGGATGCAACCCCCCAAGGCTGCCAATAATGTTACATGCAAGGAATCCCAAAGGCAGTCACGTAGCCTGAGCCTAGGCTGCAACAAAGGACACCTCTTAGTCGCCAATTGGGGTGGCGACACCATTCATTTTTGTACTCTTTCGCCAAGTCCAATGGCGCCTCCCTTACTGTTCAATCGTGATACATGCATGAAGATATGTAACCCCCTAGGCTGCCACCTAGCCTGCACCTACTCTGCACCTATACTGTATGTTGTAAGTCTCCTCCCATCACCTCCAATGGGCTTACGTGCATTCAGGCAAGGAATCCCAAAGGCTGTCCCGTAGCCTGAGCCTAGGCTACAACAAAGGACACCTCTTATTCGCCAATTGGGGTGGCGACACCATTCATTTTTGTACTCTTTCGCCAAGTCCAATGGCGCCTCCCTTACTGTCCAATCGTGATACATGCATGAAGATATGTAACCCCCTAGGCTGCCACCTAGCCTGCACCTACTCTGCACCTATACTGTATGTTGTAAGTCTCCTCCCATCACCTCCAATGGGCTTACATGCATTCAGGCAAGGAATATCAAAGGCTGTCCCGTAGCCTAAGCCTAGGCTGCAACAAAGGACACCTCTTATTCGCCAATTGGGGTGGCGACACCATTCATTTTTGTACTCTTTCGCCAAGTCCAATGGCGCCTCCCTTACTGTCCAATCGTGATACATCCTTAGGCTGCCACCTAGCCTACAAGAGTGACACCTTTGATTTTTTGTACATGCATGCATGCATATATGTAACCCCCTAGGCTGCCACCTAGTATGCAAGAGTGACACTTCGCATGCATGCAAGCACCAGCAACCACTATATGAAATTTATTTGCCTATAAATACATACCATATCATACATCTCTCACACCCACACAAGTCTCACTCTCTGCTACGAAATCTTTCATAATCTCTTACACTTTATAAGTCTTTCATACTCTCTATCTCTTCCTAAGTCTTTCATAATCTCAAGCATTTTAAACAATGGCTCTTCTAACAATGGGAGATACTCACAGAGGCACAAGGGAAAACATTGCCGCATTCGTAAGTTTCTATTTTGGTTATACATTTTTCATACTTCAGATAATGCGTTGTTCTTCTTACTTAATCTTACACATGTTACATTAT